TTCCATTTTTCTGCTTCTCAGGTATTTGGGCAGGTATGCGAACTGTTCGGTATTTTGATGGGAAAACTTATGAATGGGTTGGTATAAGCCGGCAGCCTAATATTATGGGCAAAGTAAGTTTACTTGCTACATTTTCATATTTGCGCTTCTTTTCCTTTTTATGTTGGCTGTTGTTTACATACAAAACACCTTCGTGCCTGATTTTGCTAATTGTTTTCTCTTATATTCTGTTGCAAAGGAGTTCTTCGCTTATTTCAGTGTAATTCTTGATTTTTGTCTTTTTAAAAAGTAAATTATTGCTTCATTCCACTTTTTTTTTTTTCAGGTGAAAAGAACGTTAGGTCAATTTACGCCTTCGAGGTGGGATAAAGACGAGTGGCACCCACTTCTTGGCCCGTTTCGATTTATTCAAGTCCTCAGTCTCTGCATTATTTTCTTGACTGTGGAACTCAACACCTTCTTTCTCAAGTTCTGCCTTTGGATTCCTCCGAGAAATCCCCTCATCGTTTATAGGCTAATTTTGTGGTGGCTTATAGCAATACCCACAATTCGAGAGTACAATTCGTACTTGCAAGACAGGTTATTTTCTAATTCTCTCTCTCGCGAGCCCAAAAGATAATTTTAATGTGAATTTTTATTTTGAACTAGCTTTTATAATTTCTTATCTTTTTACTTTACTGAATGATTATTATTTTCAGAAAACCGGTGAAGAAAGTCGGAGCATTTTGCTGGCTTTCGCTTGCTATCTGCATTGTTGAGCTTCTTATTTGTATTAAGTTTGGACATGGTGAGTATTAGCACTCATCATCATCATACTTACTATTTATTGGATATAAATTTTTTTTATAAAAAAAATAAATAAAAATTCTAAAAAATTTGTACGGTTTTGCAGGATTATTCCCTAATTCAATGCCCAGTTGGTTAGTCGTGTTTTGGACGTGTGCTGGGCTTGGGATTGTGAGTTTCTTGGTTGTGTGGTCATGGCAACTGCACAGATTGCTAAAGAGAAAGCTGCAATAGGTTTTTTTGTTTTCTTCGTGATTCTACATTTTTATATCGTTATGGTTACTGTTATATTTTTCGGTAATTAACGTCATTTGTGTAAATACTCTCATTCACGATTTTGTATATGTTTTATTCTTTGTAGGGTTAGATGAACCTCTCATTTAAGGTTTAGATAAAACCTTAATTCTTTCGAATTCGGTTAGAAGAAGAGTGGAAAATGAGAGCTTATTCGTTAGCACAAATCTGGCAAAATTTGCCCCTTTTTTTTTCCATACTATATAATTTATCATGTATTGTACACACCAAATTTTACAAGGATGTCACACACACCCTTTATTAACAAACTTTGTTCAAAATCATTTTCTTGTAGTGATACGAAAATTATTATCGTGAGAGATTTTATTCGTGCTTGTATTTCCACGTGGTTTTTCCTCTCACGAGCTCGTCATATTTGTGGTCGCCTTTTATTCGGAGCAGGTGAGTGTAGGTAGTTTGCAGGGCCCGATTTCCATTAGGGCCACCGTGTTCGTGAGGTTCACATAGGGATTGGACTATATCTGATGTCCCACATTCTCTTCTGTACTCTAATGCTATCTGGGCCAGCTGATGATTCTCCAGAAATTCTTCAGGGACTGTCTGAAAGTTTGAATCATTTGTAGGTTTTGAGAAAAAAAAAAATTAAAAAAAAAAATCTCATTTTTAATTTTCAAATTATTGTTTTATTTACCTCAATCATCCATTTGGCATACTTTGCATAATTTACATGATGGTTCATGTCCAAATCACATCTCTTTGGCTGCAAATAAAAATAAAAATAAATGTGAAAATAAAGCCAGGGAATATTTATAATACTTTTGACTGTGAATATTATTTTGATCAGACCTTTAACTCTATGTTAAATTTGCATGCATTGTCATTCAATTTTCTGATTTCTGTATAGCTTTCTTCGACTGCTTGCTTCTCGGTGAACCACTGTGTTAGCTCCTCCCTCGCGTCTTCTGGAATTTTCGAGAGGCGCCTCGTGTGCTTGTTCATCATCACGAACGTGCTTTTCGGAAAAATTAAACAGTTTTAGATTTTTGAAAAAAAGAGAAAGAAAGAAAGAAAAGTGAAGGAATTGGATTATTAATATATCGATGGAGGCTAATAATCGTACCTTGTTGCACGCACGAGTATGATGCCGGTGGCTTTACTCCTGAGTAGCCAGTCTCGTGACATCCCGTGTTTACCTGATGCCCCGACCCATGTGTCGATTTCTATGACTTCGCCCCTGTCGATTTTTTTAAAAAAAAAACATTTTTTTTTTTTATGGATGATTTGGAACATTAGGTCTTATATATATAAGATAGAATTTTGTCTACCATACCATATTGGGTAATGATCAATTTGAACTATCATTCTTGAAATAACCCAAATGAGGTTGTGTTTCACCATTCCATGAGTTGTACCATATTCCTTCATTTCCCCTGAATTCCACACATGATTCAATGCTGTTTCCTGCCAAAATAAATGAACAATTAATGATAACAATATACTACCTCCTATTTTTAATATATGTCGCACGTTAATTAAGAATATTTTTTTTGTCAATAATAACCTTATTTAATGAAGATATAGATGAATGTTTTGAGAAAAAGTGAAGAATGAATATGAAAAGACGTAATGTATTTATTAGCTAAATGAGGGTAATAATGGAAAAATATGTAGAAAAGATCCAAAACGACATTTATTTGACAAATAATTGATAAAACTAGAATGACTTTTAAAAAAAATAGGAGGAAGTAAGAAATTTGAAAATCTGCTGCATGGTTAAATAGTACAAAAGGCATAAATGATTGATTAAATACATTATGACAGCATTCAACTTTCTTGATCTTACCTGAAATAAATGGAGAAGGCTATCTAATGTCATGTTTTGATCAGGACCAACTTCATTAGACCTCACTACAAGAGTTTGCCTGTATTCAACTCCCCCATCGACAAGCATTCCGAGTCGGTAAGGATCACTTAACTGCCTCTTCTTCGGGATATTTTGTCGAAATTGTTTGACGAGTGGACGTGCATTAATATCGACAATGGGGTTTGCTAGAGAAAGCGCTTTGTCGTGATCTTGGCTTAAAATCCCAATCTTCGAACTTTTAGTCGCTCTGATTCCGGCACTGTGAAGTTCATGCTCGATTCTTCTTCGGCTCGAACATTGGAACAAGAAAGATGATTGACAAGAAAATGCAGCCATTTTCGTTTTTGTTTCCTGTGTTTAGTTTTGAGTAAATGGGAGGATCCTGTTGAAACATGGTTAAGCATTTAAGCTTATTCATTATATATAGAGCTCCCAACTTGTATATGTGAAGAGGGAAAGTATTTTTTTTTTTTTTTTTTTTTGTTAATTTCTTAATTTGGATGTTTCAAAGGGAATTGAGTGCCAAAATTTGTCTGTCAGTTGACATATTATTTAATGATGTGGCCCTATGTCTCTAAAACTTGCATTTACAGGCATCAACTTTCTAAAAATTGCATATTTAATATTGGGTTTAAGCGGCAATTAGTGTTATTGTGTATAATTGTATATTTACTGTATTAGCATTAGGTTAACTTTAGGTAACTGTAGTCTTACTTTTGTGATATTCTTGGCTAACAGAGAGTTGTATCATCAGATTGAGATGATCTTCACTACAAACTTCATCTCGTAACATGGTATCAGAGCGTGATTCTTTGTCCAATCTGACCGCTAATACTCGATCGAACCTGTTCGACTTCATTATCCCGCCTCTGAGGCTTGTGAAGCTGCTTCGTCATGGTTGATTCTTCAACATTTGATTCCGGCACTGGTGGTGGCGGTGGTGGTTCGAAAAACCATCTCACCATATGATATCACATCTTCTACAATTCGGGCAATCTAATCACTCAGGTATTGCTTAAGGGCTACTCCAATTACGAAAAATAAGCATTGAGTCTTCGGATTGCTCTTTGGGCCCAAAAAAAAAGTTTGGTTCCTTGATGGCTCAATCCCATGTCCATCCACCGATTCTGAGTTGCTCGAAGATTGGTAGGCCGACAAAGATTTGTTGGTCTCGTGGTTGATGAGTTCTATTGATTCCAAGGTTCATTCTTCCATTACTCAACATGAATATGTCAAAGGTATTTGGTTTTCTTTTAAGGAGTGATTCTCTACTCGTAATGGCCTGATAATTCAACAGTTGAAATTCGATCTTGCAAATTGTAAACAGAAAGGTTTGTCAGTTGAACATTATTATGGAAATATTACGAACATTTAGGAGGAACTCTCCGGTTTTGAGAAGCCGCCGGTTTGTCGTTGTGGGAAGTGCGAGTGCAATGCAGAAGGCTTGGGATCGTATGCGTGAGGACGAACGCGTACATCAATTTTTTAAGGGGCTCGATCGAACTTGTATTGGGTACCACGGTTCCGTATCCTTGCCCAAGAACTGTGTTTAAATCGCGTGTACTCTATGATGATTCAAGAAGAATGCATGCGCATCTCTGGCCGAATGGGCCATTTGTCCCGCGACATGCTTCGAGATTATTGGATACCCGAAATGGTTTGGATCCGATGGTGGTCGCGGTCGTACTTCTGGTGGTGGCCGCCGTGGTGGAGCTCACGACAAGGGTGATTCTCGTGCAAATGCGGCCATCTCCGGTGACATCGGTAATCCGTTTGTTGTCTGTTCTATTGGTTCTTTCACTGTTAGTGGCGCTTTGAGTGACTCTGATAGTCTTACACTTTGCGATTTAACCAATTACCAATGGGCTCACATTGTGTCTTTACTTAATTTCGTTAAACAAGATACTCACTTGTTTGGCAATCTTCGTTTATTTGATTGGATATACGATTGTGGGTGACTCATCATATGACACAATACATGGATTTTATTTCCAATGTTCGAGATATTCTCGCTCGTCATGTTCAATTGACCAATGGTTCTTTCACTATGGCTAGCAAAGTTGTGACTGCCTATTTGGGATCTTATATCAATCTTTATGATGTTTTATGTGTTCCCAGTCTTCGGTAATGCTTGATTTTACTATATTAATTGTTGAATCTTCCAACTGCACCGCCCAACTTACTAACAAATTTTGTGTTATTCAGGACTGCACTTCGAGGATGGTGATTGTCGCGGGTGAGCAGTTGGGGGTCTCTACTTCTTTCGAGTGATGGTTTCTTGTATTTGAAAGGTTTTTGTCGACGTGTGATAGCAACGTCTGGGTCATCCGTCTACTCAAGTATTGTCGCAGCTTCCTGTTATTGATTATAGTTCTCGTAGTTTGAATAAATCTTGTGATGCTTTCGTGCTAAACAACAGCATCGTAGTTCTCCTCTCAGTCAGACTATTAGTCATGAGATTTTTCATTTAGTACATTGTGATTTATGGGGTTCATATCGTGTTTCGTCCTTTTGTGGTGAACGGTATTTTTTACTATTGTGGATTATGGTTCTCGTGGGACATGAATTTATTTATTACATACTTTCTTACTATTAATTTATTTATTTATTACTGCAACCTTAATTTCGTGTATATATTATTGGTTAATAGAGACTTGTATCATTCGATTGAGATTATCTCTACTACAAACTTCATCTCGTATCCCCCTTAACAATCGGACAAAAACAAAATTTTTAAATATGTCCATTTGGATTTGACAAACTTATACATTAATTTTTTAGATTTCGAAAATGCTAAGAAATAAAAATTGACCTTTGTGTTAATCCAGAAAACTTGGAGTACTGTATTTGAAATTATGGGTTAGTTAGAAAAAATTCACAAAACTTTGGAATAATTACA